GGTTCAACAATCGGGAAGTTATTGGGAAATATTCTTGTTTTTATTTATGGAAATTACGGTGGGCACTTTTATCGGTCTATTACTCGCTGTCATTTTGGGCAATCCCATTTCCGTTATGGTAAGTTTATTACTACTAACTAGAAATTTTTAATTATTAATTAAATATTTTTAATTTCTATACATTTCTAGGTTTGCATAATGGGAATTATATTTCCCCTGGTGTTTATATCTGGTATCTTTTGGCCACTCGAGGCCATTCCCCATATGTTTCGATTTGTATATTATATAAATCCGGTGACATTTCCCATACAACACTTCCGTAATATAATGGCACGAGGTTTGACATATCAACACCCAGATGTTTACCATGGTTATTTGATGAATATTACAATTATTGTTGTTTCATTTCTCTTAAGTGTGGCATTATTTAAACGCAATTTCAATAAATAATTGTCTTTTAATTAATGGTACAATTAAATATTTGAATAAATATCAACATTTTAATAATACAACTGTTCAAATAAAATAATTTTTATAACCATATCAATATTATCGTATTACCCGGCATATAAGTGCATGCAAACAATATCTAAGTTTTACACAAGTGGTGCACCAACAATTTGTAAAAATTTACATTCTGATTATAAATCATCTTTACATATTATTAGTGTTATTGTTTTAAAAATGGTCATTTATAAATTATTATTATTAAATAAATAAACTTGAATCCAAGAAAATCCATTAATTTGCCCAAAATTAACAAATTTTCCAGGAAATGCAAAAATATATTTTTGGCAACGCTACCTGTAGATTTATATGCATTTATAAACTGTAATAGTTTTTCATTGTATACAAATACTAACATGTTACCATATAATATTAGAAATTAAGTAATAAATTAAATATGGCAACATTTTTTGAAGTAAGAACTCATATGCACTTAAATATTGCGGGCTCTGTATTAGTGCACATTATATATGACTAAAATACTATGTATACACCTAGAAGTGCATATAGTCTTTTGCTAGTTTATACAGAATAGCTAAAAATTTAAACTTCAACCCTGCGCATAGTTTCCCTGTATTACACTTCAAAGTGGAGTGCATATGAAAGTACAGTTTACTCTCAGCACATATAGTGAACTGTTTTAAACACTATTTAAATAATAATTACAATTAATACAATTAAAAATATTCATTTAATTATCCAATTCATTATAATAGAGTATAATTACAATAATTGTGACAATTGTTTAAAATATGTAAAATATAAATTATATTTTTATCCAGAATTGATATTTCACTTATTTGTGACACCAATTCACTTTAATTTTAAGCCATAAACTTATTATTGTAACTAGGGTTGCCAACTGGTCAAGGTTTGCCTTGATTTGCAAGGTGAGGGTTCTGGTCAAGGTGAAAGGCGAGGGCCTCACCTTGACATAGACAGGTCAAGGTGAGAGTAAATGTAATTACCGTATGTCTATTTTAGGTATTTATTGTAATGAACACACTATTTAAAACCGAGAATAATATTTATTGCCTATTTGTATAATAGCAAAACAAATCCTTTATTAAAAACCCTTCATAAGAAAGACTTTTGTTTCAAAAAGCCCGTATCTTATATGGAAAATACATTGTATTATAATAAAACTAAATTAAATTACAACTTAAATTTACATTTTGGTCATATTTTAAAAATATTTATAATCAAATATGCAATAATAATCGTGGTCAAGGTTTGGTCAAGGTGAATTTAGAAAATTTTTGTATTTTTCAAGGCGGTAGTCGATCAGAGTTGGCAACCCTAATTGTAACCCTATTTCCCTTCCAAACACTGCCGACAATACACATACCTATTGTACACTTTCCCCAAAATAATCTTAATGTACCTAAACTGACCCAATTTGGTCCCTATTTAAGGCCCACTCTATTCAACACATTGTTTTCAGTCCATGCAATCGCCACAAAAATGTAACCCATTGTACATTTCGCACTCCTTGTGCACAAACTTATAATAAAGTTTCAAAATAAAGTTAAAGTTTTACATGCATTTGTGATTTACTTTATAAATAATATATAAATTATACATGCTGAGAGTAAACTGTACTTTCATATGCACTCCACTTTGAAGTGTAATACAGGGAAACTATGCGCAGGGGTGGGGTTTAAATTTTTAGCTATACTTAGTAATGTAAATTACATGTAATATAGAATTTTATATTACATGTGACAGTCATATGACGTCATATAACGTCACATAGTGTAATATAGAAAATACACATTTTGCTTGAATATTGCTAATTTAGAAATCATGGCTAAATTTACAATACATTTACAACTTGTATTGCCAATAGATTATCGAAACACATTTTATATGGTTATTATAATTGTGTTTCAATTTATTTTAAAAATAATAGCGTTAATTACAATATCATAATTGCCTAGTTAACAGATGGCGCCAAAGCTATATTACACTTTGTGTAATATAAAATTTCTATATTACACTTTACATGTCATATAACTGTAATGTAAAGTGTTATATGACGTCATATGACAGAACTAACAACACTAGCTATACTGTATAATAACACCAATTCAATATTAACACAAAAACTAGATAAAAGATGATGCCCATTCGTGTGATAACGGGCACCCGGGAATTATTGTTATAAAATGAAAGTACACTAAATAGGTAGTCGAGTGATATATTTGATATGTTTATATACTTTCGGGTCTGGCCGTAGTGACCACTTTTATCGGTAAAATTTTGAAAATCAAATCTTTTTCACTAATTCTTTTTTAATTTATAAATATCCCTCTCAGCATGCAGCAATATGCATGAAATAAGCAATAATATGAGGCATCCAGATGTCCAAAATAGGCCTGGATTGTCCCGGAATTAGATAGATTATTCAAAATTTTACAAATATTTTAAATATTAAGTCTATCGAGATTAATATAGCTAAAATTAGTAAAAATATTCAGGAATCCAACTTAGTAGGACTGATTTATGCTCAAAATCTATGATTGTCATAAACTTATTTAGTTAGTCTAATTATGTGTGTAATGTGTTAATAATTAACCGATCTCTATTTTAGAATAGCATAGAATGCTGATAATATATTCTTACAAATCAAATGAGAATATGTATTCAATTATATTACGCGGTTATATAGCTTACATTGCACTTTAGCTTACATTGCACTTTAACATCTTATTTTTGCAATCTCATCCCTAACCCTCGCTATAATAAACACAGTACAAATATGTATGCAAATATATAATGTAGGTTAAAATTATAGTTTTTACAAATCATCCATATAATTAAATAGTCAAATAAAACATTTATTGTTACTAAAATTTTCAAACATTAATGTATATAAAATAATAATTACTATCACTATTTCATCGGATTAGCATAAAATCCTATTTGATTTGTAAGAACCTTATAGTATAAAAATATTAGATACTTTACAAATATATTATTCAAATTACAGATAAAATATTTGCAATGTTAGGCCCAAACGGATCCGGAAAAACAACATTAATGCGTGTAATATTAGGACAATTAAGATTAACATCAGGCACAATTGAGGTGTTTGGCAAAATGGCAAGATCTGCGGGTTTGGGTATTCCCGGACCGGGTGTCGGGTATATGCCTCAGGAGTTGGCGTTATTTGATTATTTCACAATCGGAGAAATACTTAATTATTACGGAATGATATATCACATGACACGCGAGGAAATTAATGAAAGCGTTCGTAATTTAAAAAAATTATTGCAATTACCAGAAAATTTTAGAGTAATTAGTCAATTAAGTGGTGGACAACAGCGCCGGGTGTCGATCGCCATAACAATGTTACACAAACCCAGACTCGTTATATTGGATGAGCCCACTGTTGGTGTGGACTCTCTGCTCAGACATAGGATATGGAAATACTTGGAGAATATGTGCAATAAAAATAGGATAATAAGTAAAAATATTACAAATATAATTTTATGTATAATTTTAGGCCAAACAGTGATAATAACGACCCATTATATAGAAGAGGCCCGGAGTGCACATAACGTGGCGTTTATGAGATCCGGCGCTGTATTGAGACAATCAAATCCACAACAATTGATGGATGAATATCAGTGCCCGACACTGGAGGACGTGTTCCTACAGTTGTGTCAAATAAATGATAACACCGTTGCTTTTAGTCAAGACATGAAATCCAAAGACAATACAGACATTGATTTAAACAATAATAGTTTAACAACATGTGAGACAATAATTCACTACAAAAACAATGCGTTCATTGATTGGCAACGATTGAAAGCAATGTTAATAAAGCAATGGATTGCTATTAAAAGACGGTCGCTATTTGTGTGCGCCTATTATTGTCTAATTATTATATCTATGACATCGTTGCATTTGATATTTGGCCAGGAGGTTAAGCACATACCGGTTGGCGTATATAATAGCGATCAAATTGGTGATAATCAAACATCATTATCGCATTTAATTATTGATTCAATAAATCCCCAAAATATGCGTTTAACTCATTACCCATCAATCGATAGCGCCGTTCAGTCGGTAACAAATGGTGACAATTATTTGGCGCTTGAATTTCGGGACAACTTTTCCGACAGTTTTGAGACACGAGTAACGGATATGTTTGACGCCAGCGATGATGTCGTTGAGCAAAGCCTTATACATCTATATGTAGACATTTCAAGTAACTTACATTTATAAAATAAATATGAAATTAAAAGAACAATACATTAAAAATGTCTATTTACTTAATTAAATAATTAAATATTATATGTTAATTCAAAATAGACCCACAAATGTACGCCATGATGGTTAGATACCTTTTGGAGGGATTTGTTATATTCACTAAAAAATTGGGCCAAATTGTAAACAATATGAATATTTACGACCAAATGAACGCAATTAAAGTTATCGAAGTATTTAACGGCGATTTAAGCAAACCTTTGGCCACATTTATGTTTGTCGGACCGCAAATGTTGGTATTTGTCGAGTTTAGTTGGGGTTTGATTCTATCGGCATTCATCATGATAACTGACAAATCGTTGAACATAATGAACCGGGTGTTTGCGGCCGGTGTCACTGAGTACGAGTATATGGGCGCCCATATAATCATCAACGTTATCATTAATTTAGTTCAAGTCATAAGTTCGATGATTGTTGTGTTTGTCGTATTTTCCGTTCAACAATCGGGAAGTTATTGGGAAATATTCCTGTTTTTATTCATAGAAAATATGGCGGGCACTTTTATCGGTTTATTACTCGCTGTAATTTTAGGCGATTCCTTTTCTGTTATAGTAAGTTTATTACTACTAATTATTGTAGATAATATTGTAGATAATATTAATTAAATATTTTTAATTTTTATACATTTAAAGGTTTGCATAATGGAAATTATATTTCCCCTGCTATTCATATCTGGTATCTTTTGGCCACTTGAGGCCATTCCCGATATGTTTCGGTTTATAGACTATATAAATCCGGTAACATTTCCCATGCAATATCTCCGTAATATAATGGCACGAGGTTTGACATATCAACACCCAGATGTTTACCATGGTTATTTAATGAATATTGCAATTATTGTTGTTTCATTTCTCTTAAGTATTGCATTATTTAAACGCAATTCCAATAAATATTTGTCTTTTAATAAATGGTAAAAGTGCACTATAATAGAAATAAATACAATACGATAATTGAATAATTACAAAACATTATAATCAATTAATTTAATTATACATATTGTTTACTAAAAATTATAACAATAGAAACTGTAAATTAGTATCATGATGGAATGATATTTAAATTAAAATTGTTAAAATTTGAAAAATAATCAAAGCTTGCTTTCATTATTGAAAAACTAAGTTATAATTTAGTTTAATAAATTCAAATTTTAAAATATTTTATTAAACAAAATATCTTAATAATAATAATAATTAATACGAGTTTTACTAATTTCGGTTTTAACTAAATATTATTTTCAATATGAGTAAAGGTTAAAAAATATTTAAAGATAATAATCTAGCATGGTTTTGTCTTGTAGTTAATTAATTTGAATTTAATAACTAATTATTAACTGACTATTTTATAAAATCAATTTGGTAACAACTCTGATAATCTAATTATAGTGGAGTGTATACTAAAGTTGTTCATTACTTACAAGTTAGAAAGATTTGTAAAAATTTACATTTTAGTTACATTGATGTTTCTGTTATGAAAATCATAATTTAAATATTATTATTATTATTAAATAAATATAATAATCAAATTCAATTACTAAATACGCCTCCCACCCCATATCCGGCGCCCGTTATTATTAGCGCCGACTACTAGAGATGTAACAAAGACAGAGTATGTGAAACAAAGTCTGCTCAATGGTATCTAAGATATAATTACTGGTTAAAGTATGAATGATAACTTAGTTAATAATAACATTTCTTTTTATTTATATAAAAATTGAAATGCATAAAACGTTTGATTATCAACATGATAACTTTTTATATAATAAAATTGCATATTATTTGTTTGTCAATTCATTTTAATTTTATGTGGGTTTATGGTAAATATTTTGCACATAATTAATTATTGCATCAAAAAACTAAATAATAAACATAGTAAACAAAGTTCAATAATTGAAGTACCAGGTAATCATTTTATTGTTTTGTTACCTGGTACTCTGATACTAAATTATTGTCTTGCATATATTGTATATTAATAGTTATAAACATTTATAAACTGTAATAGTTTTTAAATTTATACACATACTTACATTATACCATATAATACTAACAATAAAGTAATAAATTAAAATGGCAACATTCTGTGAAGTAAGAACTCATTTAAATAATAATCAAAAATATTAAAATAACTTTTTATAATAACAAAATTTAATTGCTAATTTTACAATTTATATTTACAACTAAAAATAATTTTAATAGGTACTTGCTTGGGCTATATTAGCCATCCTGGCCATTATCGTAATGACCTATATTGGCATTACGTATGTAACCGTAATAATAACTACTACCGTAATCATTGTCAAGTCTTGTAATTAAAATAAAAAATAAGCAACATGGTCAGTTTGTTTCTTTAATTGATTGTAATAATATGCAATAATTTTTATTATAATTTTTTGTAAAGTATTTTATATTTTGTATTATTTTAATTACAGTTTAATTTTATTGTATAAATTACATACGCAACATATGTAAGTTTAAATAATACTAATTAAAACATTTCAAAAAATTAAATATGTCTATCGTTTATAATTTTATTACCCAAATAAGAAATTAATTGCAATGTAAAATTTACAGCAAATATTTAATTGCTATTTAATTGTTGTATATCATGTTGTTTTATATACAATTCCACCACATTGTATATGAAATTTGACAATTAGTTTAATTAAGTGCCTAATCCAGTGGTGTCCAATATTATATCATCACCACTTGCATCGACAACAGCCATAGTAAGATTACCAGCAATAAGTTCACCAACTTTCCCTATAAAATCTAGGCCAGCTTTTTATAGTTATAATTAAAGCCTTTCAAAATATGCATTTATAAGCAGTCAAATATGCCATATAATATGCACTAAAAAGTGGCCAAATATGCACTCAAATATGCACTTACAATTCTGTTAATATACGATATTAATATTATTTACTATAGTTTATAAGCAAAATAACGAAATGTTATGATGAAAATGATCATTAGGCCTTAAAAACTCATTTAAATATTCTAAATTACAAATTAAATATAAATTAAAAATATATGACTTATTTTTAAATGCTGTAATAATTGCTAGAACTACAATAGGTAATATTTTAACACAGATATACAATATTAATCAGATAGATATTTGTTTAATGACTTAATATTTGGTCAAATTATGCAATTAATTTTAAATAATTGTAAATTTTCTAATAGATTAGACATTTCAATTATTATTTTCAAGCAAATCAATGCTTTTTTATGCTTTTAGACCAAATATGCATTTATATGCATTTATGAGCCAAATATGCATTTATATGCAAAATAAAAGTTCTTCAAAACACCCCTTATTATGTCATTCGTTTGCCNAAATATGCATTTATATGCAAAATAAAAGTTCTTCAAAACACCCCTTATTATGTCATTCGTTTGCCCCCAAAGTCCCAAACGTATATTACTAACCGGTAAAAACATGCATTTGCATGATATGAAAGGCTTTAGTTATAATTATTAATATAAATATTTTTGTTGTTTATGAATGCAAAGCAAAAATAAATTATCATGGATTAAGCCGGTATCAAATTTTATACCTTTATCAATTATGTACTTGACAACACCGGCAATTGGACAATCTGTGTTAGTTTAATTAAATAATTATTAATTTTAAATGTATACAACATTTGTATAGAAATTAATAATGTGCATAATCTCATTGGAGTATACACTGTTAGATGGTTTTAGAATTCACAATTGGACATCAATTTTTTGGATAAATACATTCA